TCCTTGTGACCATCAAAAGTGACCCCCAACAGTTTGCTCACCTGCATGATATTGTGTCTAACCCACAAGGAGTAGAATTGTTCACTGCACCTTTCAGTCATATCAATAGGTCATGGGCTCCTGAGTCACGTTATATGAGATGGGATACACTGGTTCTTGCACTAAGACTATCTCCAGCCCTGTCTGTAAAGGAAGACGAGGAGTTGGAGGACACTCACCTCTAGGATTGCTCGCTTTATCAGGTTCTTCAGATACTGGAGAAAGAGGAGAGATGTTGCAATTTGTTTCAGAAATAACACTTGCTGCAAAAAGCGTCTCCACATCAGCCATTAGGGTTATTTCCTTCAACTCCTCGAAAGACACATTGTCGGGCTCACTGTGCTCAGAATTTATCTTGTTGTCAGCATTTGTACCCAGCCTTACCGGGTCACATTGGGTCATGGGCTTCTGCTTGGGCCTACAGACGCATTTAACTTTTTGGACTATTACCCTTGGTTTTTTGAAAAGCCTCCTTGCTTCATTGCTAGACCCAATATGGTCTATCCCTTTGCCTTTGTCAGCCCAAGGGATTTTGGGATTCTCCCCAGCATCTTTAATCCCTGGATATAACTGATTGACCGGGTTTGGTGGGGTACCGGTCTGATCCAAGTGTGTCCTCTGGTTTGGGGGATGAACCGAGTGCCCGCAAAACCCCTTTCCCTTTTGAAATTCAAACTTGTTGTTTCTGGTTTCTGGGTTCGATAGCATTCTTCACCCGATATGTGCTAACTGTGTTCGATTGCATCACTTCGGCAAAAGTTCTCGTTTTCCATGGGGATAACTCAACTCTAACTTCTTGGTGGCAGCACAGACAACGGGACAAAGAGGAAAGCATAGGGAAAATGTTTGGAGTATCATTAGCAGAGCGAGTCCTTAAAAGGGTTTACGATGGGGACCTCTGCGAGTTCAAAGATAGATTTCATAATCCGCCACCATCCCCCAACTTCGATTCCCTCCGGGATGAAATTTCTTCTATGTCTCTTACCCCACATTTCCGACATAACCAGAAAACGTCCTCTTTTGTTCCAACCGAGAGCTAAACTCAGTGAATGGTATCTTCCATTCCGACATTTTCCCCACATTCAGCCACCTTTATTCCAATAGAAATCACTTAAGATCTCAATAAGCCAACGAACTTCATTTTTGTCTAGTAAAATCGAGATTCTAAAGTCATGACCATTTTTGCTAATCTTTAGACTGTTCATTTTCTTACTGACCCAAGCAATGTCGAACAATTTACTGTCTATGAGAATAAATTTTTTGTTTTTGTTGTCCGACATGACTGCTAGGGCATCTGGTTCAGCCATGTGGACCGACCACCTCCGGGAAGTTTCTCGACGCTCCTCTCAAGTGGTAGAGTAAGCGTGCGTGGAGAGGCTAGTGAGAAAGGATTAGGGCAGAGTCTGTTTTCCAGATGAGAAAGGGTTAGGGCACAGAGAGAGGGAGAGAGAGGGAGGAGAAAGAAAGAAATTTATCTCCGTCCCTCAAAATGCTACTCCATGATGCTCCCTATATCGTCCCGAGTCATGTATTCCATTCAACTCCTTAGGAAGTGGCGAGAAAAATGATTTTCCACACTGCAACCTGGATCAAGTCAAACACTCCCTATACATGGCAATTTTGAATGGATGGTTACTTGAGTTCCTTAGGAAAGATGATTGACGTCACCATCCATATCACCTTCTTGGTTACAAATAACTTGAGTTTGAAGCACTGCTCATAAGTCTTAAGGAATAAGGATCCAACCTCCTTTTTCCAAGGAGGACTTCCTTTATATAATTGTTGATCTTATTACACATCACGTTACCAACCTAAACAGCTCTTGTTTCTGCAAAACAAGAAGAGGGCATCTATAAAAGAAAAGAAAAGTACTTCTACTTAAACACAGACCTAAATAGTCCCATGCCACTTTCAAGTCAAAGGGTCTAAAACATATCATATGAATGGTTTAACCGTAAAAGCTTGAGGCTTTGCAAATCCATTGTATCTACAGCATAATGCAATTAATTAAATAAATTTTAAAAGCTAAGGAGGAAGATAAATTTTACTATTCTACTTCACTTGAGAAGGCACATTGTAGGACTTTTTGTAGTTTCCAAATTACAAAACTCAAAGTCAACTCAGTTTAACCACACACACAGTCATTGGCTTGGTCATCAATAACCAACTATAATCAAGACTAACAATGACAAAACTTCACATTCTCTCTGACAAACATTTGTGTCTTTTACCCAACCCAAAAAAAGACTCGTTATAGTTTCAAAATCATAATGCTATTAAACAAATAATTAGAAATACGCTAAGTTAGGGAGGAAATCCTAATATAAAGACAATTATCTTTGAAAATGTATCCACCTAGATTAAACGTACATTAGGTTTAAAATATCCCTCCTCAACAATCTAAGAAGTCATTAGTTTCAAGCAAATTGCAGTAATAACAATGTAAATAAAGCGAATGGTAAAACATCTGGCAAAACTAAATGAACTCATAAAACCTCAACTTACCTGAAACCACAGCAACAAGGGTTTCAAGTCACACGTAATGACATCTTTGATATGTGAAAAGCACAAAAAGACACATAAGAAAATTGTTTGAACGTGGCGAGAAAACAACATTTCATCAAGGGAAAATTCAAAATCATTGCACAAAGACAAAGAGAGATATAGAGAGAGAGAGAGAGCCAACTCTAAGGATCAGAGAAGAGACGAAGATGAAATTAAGAATTCCAAGATAGGGAGAAGACAACGGTATTGGCGAACTGAATAATTTTTGTTTTTTTTTTTTTTGTAAGAGTGATGAACAGCTAAGTCGTGAGGAAGTTGACAAACTCTAAATCTATAAAATGACGGTTTTGCCCTCCTGAGAAACTATCCTGTGGAGGAAACTATATAGTCATCCATCATAAGATTCATATCATCATTCAATAATAACAATTTTAATTTGCACATTATATACGTATATATAATTAGAAAAAAAGGAAATTATGAAAAATATCATATACTTGTAATGTCTTATATTGTATTTTAGACTTTAAATTTTACTTTTTTGTATTTTTTGAATATTTTAGTTACACCGAACGAACATGATGCAGACAAAAATTTAATGAAACTATTTAAAGAGTAACAATAGAATTTTTTTAAAGATATTTAAAAGGGTAAGCTCTAAAAAATTCTATCAAAAGCATACAATATAATATATATTTATATTGT